ATAAGTTAATTACGGCTACATTTTGATATATATATATATATATATATATATAGTTATTATATATATATAGTTATTATATATATATAGTTATTATATATATATAGTTATTATATATATGTATATAATAAACAAATAGTCTGTAATAATAATAATAATAATAATGAGAATAGTATTAATAATACAGAATATTCTGTGATTTATTTGACATATTAAATACAAAACAAATTTAATTAGCTTTTTATTATTATTATTTATTTTGTCTCAATATATTGCATATATATAGCCGAGAGGTTAATGTATAATAAAATTTTATATAACCTTTAAATGCCAAACAAGTAAACAATGTTCAGTATATATATATACTAGAAATATATATTGTTTTATTAAAATTAAATCATTAAAAAAAATTATCTATTATTATGTTCCTTAAAAAAGTAATAAATTTTTAAAAAATATAATAAAAATTTTTAAATAAATTCAAAATATTTATTTTCTAGTTTATTAAAACAACATAATTGAGATTATATTAGAAAATATTTATAATAATAATATTTAAAATATTAATCCTCTTTAGTTTTTCCTGGAAACAAATTATATTAATAACACTATTGTGTATTTGACATATATTATTATTATTATTATTATTAATATTATATGTATTTTAGTTAATAAATCATTTATATATAAAATTTATAAACAGTATTAATATATAATAGATGTTAAAATTGATTAATATTACTTATAGTTAATATATTTTGTGAACAAATTTATTAAAAATTTTACACATTTTAATAATATGTTATAATATTATAATATGTTAAACAATAATATTTTTAATAATATCAAAGTTTACATTCAATATATATATATATATATATTAAAACTCATTGTAGATCCGCTTAAACATATTTTTGCATAAAAATTATTATTATTATTATTATTACTAGAAACAGATAATAAGTCATAATTTAGTTAATATATACAGTAGTTTAAGCTATAATTATTAGTTTAATATTATTTGATTGACATTTATATGCAAAACATATTGACAATGAACTAAAATATTTCATCAAAATGCAAAAAATAGATAAATTATTATTTCAATAAATCATATGATAGTTATAATACAATACAATTTGTATTGCTATTTGATATACAGTATTACATATCAATTAGATTAACAATTTTAATAACTATATTCTGTAAATATATAAAAAAAAAATGTAATATAAATCTTATTCAATATTAAATATCAATAAATATAATTGTTTTGTTTCTATTAATAAAATTACATAAAAATCAATTGATATAAATTATTACTCAATTGAATTCAATAATAATAATGTACTGAATATTTTGATATATATATTATAGTATATATACTGTATTGTATAAATATATATATATAGCAAACTTTAAATCTATATTGATTAATCTAAACTAATATTATAACTAAACTAAAAATATAAATATTTTTATGATAAGAGTTAATAATAACAAAAATGCTTTTTATTACAAAAAATATTATTTACTGTATATTTATATATATATATAATACAAACACATAAGTGCTACCAAACAAACAAAAAAAATGCAATGAATTGTAAAAATATGTTTTGTATATCAAAAAAATATAGTAGTTTTTGAAAAAAATACATTTTTATTCACTACACATAACAAAAATACTGTAAAGTTTAGTTCAATACACACATACACACACTATATGTATGTTTTCTAGATTTTTTTTGATATTCAAAAATATGTATTAAAAAATAAATGTTTGATAGAAATGTTTGATATATTGATGTATTTATTAATATATTTGAGAGATATTTATACAATTTATAAATATATATATATTTTTTTGCAATCTATGAACATATAAAAAATGTGTAACAAAAAGCTGACATAAGTAGCAAAAACCTGATAACATCTATATATTTCTAATATTTGTATATATATATACAAACAGTATATTCTGTATAAATCTATAACATCTATATATTAACTGTTTATATGTATATATCTAATGTATATATTGTATAATATATATATATATAGTATATATATATATTCTGTATAAATACACTGTTTATATATATATCAAATAATAATAATAAAAAAAGTCTGTGAATTAGACACATGTGTATTAACACAGGAAACTAAATGTTATGTTATATTTGCAGATATTCTCTCTCTCTCTCTCTCTCTCTCTCTCTCTCTCTCTCTCTCTCTCTCTCAGTATATTAACCGCACATATTTAATATTAACATCACATATACAGTACTGTATAGTAGTTTTGCCTAAACAGTAAAACTACAATACAGTTACATACAAAGTGTGTACTTAATATAAATCAATTTTTTCATATATTAACATAACATTATTATTATTTTTAAAAAAAAACATCACAAAAATTAGTCAATTATATAATAGTTAATTTAGTTGTCAATCAAACAATTTAGTCAAACATGACATTTAGATTACATGAATTTTAATAATATTATTATTAAAAATCTGTATTTAGTTAATGGCATATAATTACTTGAATATTAGATTTTATTACTAATAAATGTTAAAATTATAATTATTAAAATAATAAATAATCGAAAAATTTATATATATGTATTAAATAATATAATTTTTCATTTATCTTTTGTTTATAATACTCATAAATGATATAAACTTATTCATAAATAGTTTGAAACAATAAATATAATAAATATAGTGTTTTGGAGATTATAAATATTATATATTATTTAATAGTATAATAAATTTATGATCAAAAAAATTATATGTTATATATATAACACAGAAATAATAATAATATAAACAAAATTGCAACAAAATAATGTTAAAATATTCATCAAAATATAAATAATAATAATAATAACTCTCTATTAAATACAGAATATTCTGTATTTTTCTTATTTTTTTGAATAACAACCGCACGGTTTTGCAATTTTCTAACTCTCGATAATAATAATAATAATAATCATTGCATTCATGACATATATTATATATATATACAGTATATACAGTATATTATATATATAACTGTGAATAAGTCACCGGTATATCAGATTCAGCTCCTATATGTCTAACAATATATACAGTATATACTGTGGTATTAAAGATTTTTTTTATATATATATATACTGTATATTATAATACAATGTATATAATATATATACTATATATACAGTATATTGTAGTTTATATTTGAGAAACTTAATATGATTTTTTGCTTTATTATATGATAGTTATTATCTCTCTCTCTCTCTCTCTCTCTCTCTCTCTCTCTCTCTCTCTCTCTCTCTCTCTCTCTCTCTCTATCTCTCTCTCTCTTAATATAAAAATAATATTACATTTACTTTTTTTAGGTCTTCTCTTCTTTTCCAGTGATTATTATAATATCCGATATTTTTATTTTATTTTTTTTTGTGTTTCAAACGAAAAACTAGTGATATTTTTTTCCTGATTTTTAGTAATCATTATTTATATTAGGATTTTATATATAAATAGATATTAATTCAATATATACTGTGAGCGTAATATTACAAATTATTATTGCTATTATTATTATTATTATTATTAGTGTATTATTAATATTAATATAAAATATATCTATTTTTATATTTAGTATAAATTGAAACTAATTTCTATTGAAAATCTGTAGAAAATATACAAAAATTATTATTAAATTATTATACAATATATTATTAGTAAAACAAACAAAACTAATATTATAAACAAAAAAAACAAAAAAAGTTTTATATAAATGTGAAATTTCTATAGATAAACACAAAAATCATAAATTATTATTATTATTATGTTTGTTTAATATTTAAAATAAATAATAATTTTAATGGCAAAACATTTTTGTGATAAACATAGCAACAAATAAAATAAAAATAAATATAAAATAATAAATAATAAAATAGTCAACAATAATTTTTGCTGACAAAAGCAAACCCAACAATTTTACCCAAAAATATATAATTTATTATATTTTTTATAAAAAAAAATCAATAACTATTTTATATATAGTTTTTTGTGTGAAATTTTTTTTCCATTGAAAAATAGCCTTAAATTAATTTAAATCAAAATTTAATTTTGAAGGCATTGGAAAATCTATATAATATATATTTATTTATTTTTTTTAATACGATATTTGGTGTATACAGTAGTTTCAAACTTTTTTCAACAACAAAAAAACACAAAAATATTTTGATCACTAATTTTTATTTTTATATATCAATTTTATATCAATGTGTTTGTATGAGTCTCTTAACTAATATTTTGGACAAAAAAAATAAGTATCACTTAATATATCTATATATATAGGAAAACATTAATAACAACAAAAAAGTGTCGAAAAAAAGCTAAAAAAACATGACTTTTGTTTTTATATGTTTATACCAAACAAAAAATAAATAACAAAATAATAATTGACTATTTTTTTATATTATTTTATTTTTCATTATTATTGACAATATCATCATTTATATGAAAAAAATAAATAAAATTAATGACTATTTTCTAAATTAAATGATTTTTGTTTCTTTTGTTTTTTTGGTTTTATCATAATTAATACTATCACTATATAAAATAAATTTATTATTATTATTATTGCAATAATATATTACAGAAAATTAAACTACAATTAAATATCAAACTAACAAATAAAAAAAATAGATGACATTTAACAACACATTTGAATAGTCAAAAAAAACTAATTATTATTACAGCAATAATAATCATAATAATAATACTAATAATCGTGACTTTATTTAATTAAAATGGGAACAAAAATTATAAAATTTATTAATACTATTAATATTCAAAGAAAAAAAAACTATTATATTATATGAATATTTATATATAAGTTATAAGTATATCATTAATTATTTAAATAAATATATATATAATTTTTTTTGATATTATTATTATTTTTATTTTACATGTAATATATATTTTATTTTTGTTTGCATTTTCAGAGTACGCGTCGAGTTTTACGTTAATGAAAATACATTGAAAGAGAGATTGCAATTATATTTTATTAAAAATCAGAGATCGAGTAAGTAATATACTGTATATTTATATTAAAACTATATATTTATATATTTATATATACATTTTTATATAAATATTTTTGTATATAGTTTTATATAGACTATAATTATTATTTAATTTATGATAATTGCTTTTGATAACTGTGATGACAATAACAATTTGTATGGAAATAATAATAATAATAACTATAATAATTTACATGAAACATGTAAATCATTGATAAATTATTTTACAACAAAAAATAATAAAAATTAAAATCAAATACCAATAATTAATTATATTATTATTAATAATTAACAAATTTATTACTATTTATAATAATAATTATTATTTTAACCATTACTTTGTATTAATTGCCGACTTTTTTTTTCTCTCTCTCTCTCTCTCTCTACAGGCTTAAGGATACGTATAATTAAAACAATACTTAAACTGATTGCATGTCTATTATATGTGATACGCGTTGTAGTGGACAGTGGACCGACCGCTGCCAACTGGTATATACATTATAAACCCTTTAATATAAACCATATTTAATATTACATTTGAATAATTAATTTAATATCAAAAAAAAAATCTTATTAAATATTAAAACCTTAAGATCAGACCAGAAATTCTTACGCCATAATCGTGCGAATAAAATAAATAATTTTTATGTTTATTTGATACTAAGTATACATATATACCGGTATATATATATACTGTATATTAATCAATACATATGCAGATATATTTTTTTTATATACAGGTATATACTGTATGTACATATAATATGTTAGGTAAAGCTTTTAATCTAATGAGTACTTATTATTATTATTAATAATAATAATGTTATCATTTGCTGTATAAATAAACATATGTCATAATATTATTTACAAATATATTTATTGTACAGTATATTAATGTATTTAGATTTATTTAGTGGTTATTTATCGATTTCATACTTAATATAAAATTATATTTTTAGTTTATTTTTTGTTACTTATTATTATAATAAATAAGTAATCGCAAAATCTATAGTATCTATAGGTATATATATATCAAACAGTTTGAAATTGATATATCGGACATAAATATATAACATATAATTTCAAATATATTACATTTCAAACTAAATGAATTGATTTTTTATTTGTAAAACTAAACTTAAAGAAAATAAATTTATACAAAAGATAGCAAAAAATTTATATCAATTTTATAACATATAGAATATCAATATTTTCTAATAACAAATATATTTATATATAACTTAATACAATATATATCTTATAAATAGCAGATTTAATATAGATTTATAGTTAGTGATGTGCTGAGACTGTATTATTATTATTTATATTATTAAGCATTTTGACATTTATTGTGCGATATTATTATTATTATATATCTGTACAACAATTTAATATAATATAAATTAAGTTAAGATATATATTGATTGATAACTGTTTCCCAATTAGTTACGGCTGTCCTCCAAATGAGGCCAACAATAATAATACACTACAAGTCAACTATCCGTACGCTTATTCACCGTATGGCTGGGATTTAAGCCGTGGATTTGGTTACTCTATTAATTACACCTCAACGCCACTCAATTGGTATTAAATATAATTTATTTATATATTATATTTATATCATATAATAGTTATACTATCGGTATATCATATAATAATTATATACAGTATCTAAGTATATAAGTCTCTAACATATATATATAAAAAAAATCATTTATTAAATCATAAGATAATTAGACGTTTTAATTTAATTTCATTCAAACAAAAAATTTGTTTTATTTTCACCCAATAATATAGGAATGCCATACTCTATGTGGACAGACCACCAATTTTGTGGACGTTTCAAGTAATTATTTATTAGTTTAATAATTTATTTTTTTAATATAAATCTAATAATTTTAATTAATAAAAATCTATTGATTTTATTTTTTTATTTATTAAAAAAAATTAATTAAAAATTAATATTACAGACAAGTGTGGCACTTATATGTCTCGCCGAAGCCTTACTATTAGCCTATTTATCATATAAAGTATGTATACATAATAATAATTAGTAAATATATATATACTGTATATTATAAGTAGAGTATTATAAACACAATAAAACTAATTAATTTAAAAGTGTTTATCATTAATTATAATGATCTCACATTTTAGTAGGCAATGAGTCTCTTATTATTATTATTATTATTATTATTGTTACTAAAAATTTTTAACTATTAGTTTTATAGAAAAACAAACACAAAACTGCTTAAAACACTTTCCATTATCTATGGGTTTATTTTCATATTACAGTAGATATACTGAGATATATAAGGATATATATATATATATATATACTGTATAAGTACTGTATATCTAATGTATTTTTATACTGTTTTGTTATATTACTACTGTATATAAGTGTATAAATACAATGTGGATATATCTATCAAGCAGTTGTTGTATTAAATTATATAATACTTAAGCACTGTTAGGTTTTAGGTTAGGTTAGGGCCAGAAGCTGATTGAATTTGCAATGATATACTTGTACTTGTAATGTATGTATCAAATTAATGTCATTTTATGATTATGTTATTAAATTATCTAATAGTGCTCTCTCTCTCTCTCTCTCTCTCTCTCTCTATATATATATATATATATATATATATATATATATATATATATATATATATATATACACCACTAATGTGTGTTAAGTGATTATCAATTTGAAGAAATAAATAATAATAATAATAAAATTCAGTTACACATATAAATTCACAACTAATTTAGAGAAATATTTTTTGTTTGTTTGTTTTATTTTGCAAATAAGTCGTGCGATTATTATTTTTATTGCATAAAAATTATGTTTAGATTTATAGTTTATTTTTTAAAATAATATCAAAACACTGTTTGTGTATTATTATTATTAAATATGTATATTTATTTACATCATCAACAACACGCACGCACACACCTAAAAAAATGACACTTTCCTCTATACAGTATATATATATATCTACTGTCTAAATGCTATTACTTTTTTTATATATATAATACTTGAATGCTATACCACTGGCATATCAATTGCATTATTATTGAATTTTATTATTATTATTATTATTTTTATTACTTTAGACGTGAATTTCAATGTGATTTATTTTTTTGGATGCTTTTACTGAAAGTGCAGTTTTTTTCATGAATTTTATTTAATAATTTGTTAAACTTTTTTTATGTATATTTTATTTATTTTAAATATATGTATTTATAAATATCTAAACACTTATATATTGATATATAAGAAAACATTCACAAAAAACACTACATTAACTCCATTGATATACATTTATTTTTAAAAAAATATATATAAAAAGCTAGAATTTTAATTAACACGAATATCATAAAAAATAAGATTATTTTTTTATTTTTTTATTATTATTATATACTGTATTTAATTCTGTAATTTATTTCTCTTTAGTATAGTATATATAAACTATAATTTATGTAATATACTATACATTTATAATAGAGAGAGAGAGAAAGAGAGAGAGAATATTCTGTATATAAATATATCATATCTTCAAAAACAGTGGGATATCTCATTGAATCTCTCTCTCTCTCTCTCTCTCTCTCTCTCTCTCTCTCTCTCTCTACACTAAGTGTATCATTGATTTTATTTTAGACACAAAACACACTGACATTTATAGGATATAAACCCCATTATTACACGACTATTATTATTATTATTAGTATTATTCTTGTAGTAAAATTGCGAAAACAACACAACAACAAAAACAAACCGATTTTCATATAACTATTATATATATATATATAAAAACTATAATAATTTTTTTCCACTTATAGGGAAATGTAATGCAAACGCTTTTATCGTTTCATTTTATTTTGGAGATCGTCAACAACGCTCCCTTTGTGGCCACAGTATGTATAATACATTAAACTACTAGTGCTATGATTGTATGCCTTTTTATAACAATATATATATAATAACAACATTATATCATATTTTTTTATATATATACACAAAATATATCATATCTTTAATAATCTAAATCAATGAATCCCCGATTGCCGACTACCGATCTAATGATATATATACACAAACATAGTATAGTCATAACTACATTAAAACATGACAACATAACTGTGCCGTACAGTTTAGATATTGAGACAATTGCATCCCTTTCCCCTCTCCCTCCCCCTCCCCCAACCCTAACACATATACACACACAGTGAGAGTTCAAGTAAGTTATAGCACCAAAAAAAAAAAGTTGTCACAAATATCTCCTGAATTATGAATTATTATAACCTATGCTCTCTCTCGACGACAGTTGCGGCTAATGGTTGTCAAATAAATACAATATATATTCAGTATATAAATAAATATCAAAAAACAAAATCTTTATTATAACCAAACAAAAAAAACAATATTTATTTCATATACAGTATATATATAAATAACTCCATTATGATATGATATTATTATTATTTGTACAGTTAATATGGTCTCCATTACGTAACCTATTTATACCGGGATTCCTGAACTGTTGGCTCGCCAAACATGCCCTCGAAAATATGTTTGTAAGTATATATAAATCTAACTGTCCTCAACATCTATATATATATATATATATAGTAAATTTATACAAACATATGTTTTATGATTTATATACACATATATATACAGTATAAACAGGTAGATAGTTATATATACAGTACAATACAATACTGTATACAGTATTACACTTCACTTATCACTTAGGAATGCGTGTTATATAACAATTTGGTAAATATTTGTCAAATAATCATCATTTTTATCGTTTTTTTTATAATCGTAACACAAATGTATTTATCATAATGTTGTCCACACATTGTATATAAATTTTTTTTAAAAAAGCAGTAAATGTATGAAAAATTTTTATTTTAGTTAATCTTATAATTTTATCAAATATTGATAACACAGACACACTGTTATTATATATTACATTATATTATATAATTAATAGATAATAGAAAAAAAAACTTTTTATTTATAAATAAATAAATATATTTTTTTCTCTAATTCAACATAAATATTGTATAATAATAATAATAAAAAAGTTTTGACTAAATATTTTTAATAATTTATAGATTAGTAGACATTAAAAGTTAGTTTAAGTAATATTAGGTGTAAATAAAATCTATTTTTCTTTATATTTATTTGTTTTGTTTTTGTTGTTGTTTTTTTTTGCTAAAACAAAATTGTTTAACAATTTATAATTTAAGTTCACATTTTAGTAGTCTATATATATATTTTTATTATAGACAACAACAACAACAAAATCATTACTTTTGACAAAAAAACATTTGACAAAACTTTAGGCTAAATATATATATAGTATATATAAGACAATAGTTGACAAATTTAAACACAAATTTAGGGACAAACAAAAACAAACCTTTAGGTTATTTTAGAAATAGTGGTTTAAAATATATATTGAGATTACTATAAGTCAATAGTGATAGGGAAAGGATAGGGATATACTATAATGTTATTTACACTGTAAATGGTATATATTTTTAGTGAAATGCTATATAAAAACACGTCAAACAAGTTGTGTTCACTTATAGAGATCAATCCAGTCATCCATAAGCGCGTAGACATAGTCTCTCTCTCTCCATAAGCCACCACTTCATACATTACATACCAGCTCTCTCTCTCTCTCTCTCTCTCTCTCTCTCTCTATGACGTGATTTTCCCACATTATCTCCTATTCATCGATACAACGAAAATCATAGTCCAAAACATATTTAACTCTTAAATGTGTCTGTTTTTCACTCTCTATCACTAATATCTCTGTTAAAAATCAAATGTCATTTCAAAAAATGTGATTTAAGTCTTACATACAGTACACTAACATTGAGAGAGAGAGAGAGAGAGAGAGAGAGAGAGAGAGAAAGAGAGATAAAGGCATAGACATAGCTGTGAGAGTATGTGTGTCTGTAATGTCTTTAAACGAAATCAAATCAAAAATCAAATGAAATTTAACAAAATTAATTGAAAACAAAACAAACAAACAAATAAAACAAAACAACAAAAATACAATACAACAGACAGTTAGACTCGAAATTGAATTCAATGACAATAATGTTATACCAAAACAAAAAAAGACAAAATTATATAGACTTTTAGTTTAATGTCAAATACCAATTGGTTTAAATCACACATCAATAAAATAAAACTAATAATAATAATAATAAAAATAAAATTACTTTTTTTTACTGAAACAATCGCCAAAAATCAACGAACAATATAAACCGTTACAAATATAAAATAAAATTATTTAATAGACTTTTATATATACCGTATATAATATTTGGATTCAATATTGTCCTTAAAAAATAAATTACATATAATATATAAATACTAATTGTAATAATCAATAATCAATTTTAAAAGCACTGGTATGTTAAAATAAAACTAAAATCACATCCATTTCCTCCATAATGTAGAATGACTTGCACCGGGCGATGCAGAGATCGCAGTCGGCTCTTAGCCAACGTTTGATGATATTGTCGGCCACACTGTTGTGTCTCATATTTACCAGGTATTATACACACCCACCCACCCACCCCTCCCCAAAACACAGATAGCACACAGTTAATCATATAATAATATACACACCATTTTCACCAACAGTGTGTGCGGCTATCAGCACTTCCAGAGGGCCGGCGGTCGCAATGTCGACCTATTCGAGAGTCTATACTTTGTTGTCGTCACGTTCGCCACTGTCGGCTACGGCGACTATAAACCGGATCGTTGGCCGTCGCAGTTGTTTATGGTTATCATGATTTGTGTGGCACTGATTGTATTGCCCACACAGTTTGAACAGTTGGCCTACACTTGGATGGAAAGGCAAAAACTTGGCGGCAGTTATAGGTATGTCTTGTTTTATTTCATCCATCAAAACATAACTATTAGCTGTATAATTAAGGGACAGTTGTGTTTTTTGATGTTTTATTTATATCAAAATATGAAAAGTTTTGTATTTTTTGTTTATTTCTATTATTTTTCATTTAAAAATTTATTAAATATTTATTATTAGTTATTATTATTATACTATATTATATTATTAACTATATAAAAGTGTATAAATTGTTTTTTGTATTTTTTATTTATTTCTATCAATTTTTATCTAAAAATTTTAATCTTATTTTTTTCATTAGTTATTATTTGTTATTAAATATTTGTTATTATTATTATTATATAAATAGTTGATTGAAATAAAATAGTTATCAATTTTTTATTTGTTTGTTAGTTACTATTGTTAAATATGTTTAAACTATTAATATAATCGCAGATTTATTTATAAATTATATTATTTTTAAAAAAAAATTTATTATTATTTAGTTATAAATTATTTATTGAGATTAATATTCAACTATAGTAATAATGATAATAATAATAATACTATTATAATAATAAGCTTACTTTATATAAATTATTAATATTTATAATATATTATTAACATTAATCACTAAATGTATTAATAAATAATATTAAACATTATTTATTATACTTTATAATTTAATTATTTAGTAAATTTCAAAAAGATTATTATTTACTAATTGAAATATTAATATTTAATAATAATAATAATTAAATTGACATTTATTTGATTTAAAATTGCAGCAATTTTTCAAATATTATCAATAATTAATATTACTATTAATAATAACTAAATAAACATTTGAAATGTAATTTATTTTATTTTTTTAAATATAACAAATACAGTATAATGATTATATACAAAATTCAATTTATCTAAATAAATAGAAATATATATATATATATATATATATATTAAAACTAAAAATATCATCTAATTTGTCATTTAATATTTATTATATTATATTTGAATTTAATCTGAAAATATATAATAATAATACAATTCAATACATTTATTATATTATACACTAAAAAATGCTTTTTATTTTTACATTTATTTGTTTAAAGCATTTCACAATTTTTGTCTCTCTTTCTCTCTCTCTTTTAATGCCAAACAATAAGTTTTGTAATAATTTTTTTTCTCTCTCTATTTGAGAAATAATTTTTTTTTATATATATATACTAAACAGATCTGTTATTTTGGATATATTTATATATAAATAATATTTTATTTCAACACATATAAAATATACTGTATTTAAGTAAAGATTATCGATTATAATAGCCATATGTGGTGTGTTTGAATCGGCTTTAGCTTAACTATACCCGGCTTATATACCATTTTTTATATAACTGTCCCCACGATATATAAATAAATTTATATTATATATATATCTGACTATAATATTTTTTTTATCAAATACGTGTGTCTACAGTAAAAATTATTATTATTATTATTATTGCAATATATATATATTTTTCGGTAGAAAAAATGTTGTCATATTTTTATATAACATTTATTAGCATTAGTTTATAACCAAATTTTGGCATCAATTTGCAACAACAAAAAATGTATATTTTGACAAAATTTTTAGTTTTTTTTATTGATACAAACCTAACCAACAACAAAAAAATGAGACGATATATCAATAGTTAGATATATTTTCGTATAAATATATATTTATATAATATATATTTGTTGTCTCTTTTAAGAATAAATATTATATTTGTTTGTTTTTTTTGTTGAATTTTTTTAAATAGAAAAAAATATATAATATATATAAGAAACAAATAATAACAACAATAATAGTATTTAGCAAAAATGGATATATAATATAGTATAGTATGAAAATGTTAAATCTATAAAAAAAAATATATCTATATATAGTATATATGAGTATATATTTATGTTATGTTCATATTGTTTGATTGAATGGTATTTATTTTGACACACAAAAACCTGGATTCATTAGTAGCCGTATTATTGTATTATTATTATTAGTATTAGTTTTTATTAAATAGCATTGTCAACTGTCCCTATGTTTTTTTTTATCAGGTTTAGATTTTTGGCTATCTAAACTATGTAGGTTAATGAGGGGGAGGGTGGAAAGGGGGAGGGCTTAAAAATCAGCTATTTTTATATTCAAATAAAATTTATAAAATTTTTACATAAATACCATAAATGTTTGTTTTTGTTGTTAATTATTGTAAATTATTTGGAAAATATTTTATTTTTTGTTGTTGATTATTATTATTATCAACTAATTTGTTAAATTCCTTAAATTTTTACTTAAAATATAAAAATACTTTTACTTAAATTAAATAATTAAAATTATTGTATATTAAACTTAATAATAATAACATAATAACAATGTCTACAGGTTTAACAAATAAAATAAGTTGGTAACACTACTACTACTACTACTACTACTAGTATATCATATTTGTGTCTATTATTTTGTTTGTATGAAAAACACCATAATTTTCAAGTATATATATATATAAATCTTATTATGTTTATTTACTACTAAACAACATATTTGACATAATATTTGTTTTACGTTTTTTTTTTAAAAACAAAAAATCATTTTTAATATCAAAATCTTGTATTTAGTATAAAATGTTTTACTTTTATAAAAACAGAAAAATAATTTTTTTTTGAAAAAAAGATTATTTACAAATATTTTGTATATTTATTATTATTATTATTATTATTATTTTAGTTTAGTTTACATTTAGTTTATTTTGTCATACATGTAATGCCCCGGAGCAATAAAAATAGATATTTTTTTTATTAATTTGATATATTGATGATCGATTGTATTATATTAAATATATAGAAAATTGAAAATCTCTGTATATATATACAGTATATCATATACTTTAAAAAAATAATAGTTTTATATAAAATATTATATTATTTTTATTTTTATTATACCTATTATTATAGCATACATAGGGCTCAAACCGAGAAACATGTGGTTGTCTGCAGCACAACATTACGATCGGACACTATTATGGACTTTCTCAACGAGTTTTATGCTCACCCGCTATTACAGGTGTGTGTGTGTGTGTGGGTTTGATGTGCTCAAAAAGCTACCATTCCCCAGCCCCTAATAAAATTCAGTAAATGATACCGATCTTAATTGATATATACTTTATATAGGATTTTTATGTGGTATTACTGTCCCCATGCGAATTGGATATAACCATGAAAATGATACTACAAGTGCCAATGTGGGCCCAACGGGTCATCTATATACAGGGCTCGGCCCTTAAGGATACCGATCTTACCAGAGCCAGGTTTGTTGTGTTTAATACATATATAATTAAAATAAATTTATTAAAAATAAAAATAGGATGTGCGCTGCCGAGGCTTGTTTTATATTAGCCGCTAGAAATTATATCGATAGATCAGCCGCTGTAAGTAATTAATTAATTAATTAAAATTATTTAGTTATTAATTTAGTTAAATATTAGTTAATAATAAAACTAACTAAATGATTGAAAAATAAGTTAAAATATTTATTTATTTATTTTTAATTTGACTAATAAATAGGATGAACACACAATACTACGTTCGTGGGCTGTCCGCGACTTTGCGCCTAACGTTCCCCAATATATACAGATATTTAGGCCCGAAAACAAAATACATGTAGCCTTTGCCGGTAAGTCTATGTTTTATAGTATTATTAAAATTATTATTTTTTAAAAAAAAATTTATAATTTAATTTAATTTTTGCTTTTTTGACACATATTTTTATTTGGGAAAAAAATCATTTCTTGAAATCTGTATTTTCATTATTGTATAATTTAATTTAAGTAATAATAATAATAATAATAATAATAATAATACAGTATTTGTAATATAAATAATTAAATTATTTGAATTACTGAGAATTTATTTTTGAAAGAGAAAAAAACAAAATAATTTTAACATAAATTGTGTGTTATATTTGAATAGAAAATATTTTTCTCATTTTCATATATTTATTATTTATTATTTTTTGTTGTATAGAAATATAACAAAATATTTTATAATATCAAAAAATATTTTTCAAATAAAAAGTCTATTATATACTATATAATATATATTTATTATAATATATATATATATTTGAACTAGTTCATTGCAAGTTAAACATGCAAAAAATTTATCAATTTTAGTAATACAAAAAAATATTTTATTGATACAGTTTTCAATATACAGAATATTCTTGAATTTTTTGTTAAATTTTTATAAACTTACTGTATATTATATAACTGTATTATTATTATTATATAAAGTTGAAATTTAAGTGAAACTATTTTTCCTAGAAAATAGCAAAAACTTAATAATAATAATTTGAATTAAATCTATTTTCAAGTACTTTAAAACACAGTACACACATACAGTATAGTGACAATTGAATTACAGTACACTATAAATAATATATATTGTATATATATTTGAATATACCGTAATTCTATGCATAAAATTTAAGTTTGTTATTACATTATTGCAATGTGCGAACAATTTAATTGATTTTTATAATTAAATTTTTTGATGGTTTAAAAGCATTTGACTAAAACTAGACAATGAGTGAGTGAGTGAGTGAGTGAAAGCAAGTTTTGCTTATCAAACTATTTTTTAATGAAAACTCATTTTCAATTGAATTGAATTACAATTTTGTGTCGATTTTTGTAAAACAATTTTACATTATTAGCACTTTTATTCAACAACAACAACAAAAATTTAAATAAAATGTCAAAAAAATTTTAGTCAATAATTACTATTTAATTACTGTTTAATTACTGTTTGTCTTTTTAAATTTATTTAATAGAAATGTCATTTTTTATCGACATTTTGTATATTACTTAAATATATACATAATTTTGTTTTTATTATTTGTTAGTATTATTATTCAAGTTAGTTATTAGTTATATATTTATTTATTTTCTACTGAAATATACACACAAATAAATAAATAAATTGAAATAAAAAAATTATTTTATTTATTATTATTATTAATTTCTGTTAATTACTGTTTGTTTTTTAAAAAATTGATTTAATAGTCATTTTTTATCGACATTTTGTATATTACTTAATACATACATAATTTTTGTTTTTATTATTTGTTAGTATTATTATTAATGGTTTTATTAGTCATATATTTATTTTCTATTGAAATATACATACAAATAAATTTATTGAAATTAAAAAAACTATATTTATTATTATTATTATTATTATTAATTTCTAGAGCACGTTGTTTGCGAGGATGAGTTTAAGTACGCCCTGTTAGCAAACAATTGTCTGTGTCCGGGAACGTCCACTTTGGTGACACTATTATTGCATACATCAAGAGGACAGTATGTTTTTTATTAATTTAATTTTGGTTCAATTGAATCTATTTTATCAATTTGATTGATAAATAAATAACTTAATATATATAGAAATTTAATATAACAAAGTGATGATTATATAATTTAGAAATTTTTATCTATTATTATTATTGCTATTATAATATATCTAATACTAAATACTATTACTTATTACTATTAATTTATATATAGATTAAGTAATATTAGTATTACTAAACAAAATAATTAGTTATTTGAGACAACAAAAAAATTTAATTAAAAATAAATAGTTAGCATTTTTATTATTATTATACATAAATAAATTAAATAGTAATTGTTTTCGCTGTAATTGTTCAGAATAATTAGAAATATTAGCTAGGAGCATTTAATAAAGGTATTTAATCTAGGTTTGTTTTTATTTATTTTTTTTTAATTATCACTCACTATAATAGTTGACTAATATTAGTCAACTAACACAGAAACTAAATATAAATTATATCTATTTAGAGAGAGAGAGAGAGAGAGAGAGAGAGAAAGAGAGAATAATTATATTAAACATATATAAAATACAGTATATATACACCAAAAAATAAAGATAATGACAATAACATAGTAATAACATATATGTATAACAACAGTACACGCAGTTGTTGTTAATTAAGTTTTTTTTGTTATTAAATATAAAACACACTGACATACAGTACATATGAGCTCACAGTTACCTTCACACACCATACTAGTAGATTCACACATACATTACAGACACAATCACTCTCTCTCTATATATATATATGATGATATACAATGTTTAGTATTATTTGCTAATCTAATAAATATATATATATATTACACACTAATACAGAGAGGGTCAGACATCTGACGAGGAATGGCACCGACTGTACGGCAAGTGCTCCGGCAATGAGATATATCACATACGACTGGGCGATAGCAGGTTTTTCGGTGAATACGAGGGCAAAAGTTTTACTTACGCATCGTTTCATTCACATAGAAAGTAAGCCAACAATAAATCATCAAAAAAAAAATTGTTTTATATAAAAAATATATTATTATTAGTATTAATACAATACAGACAGTAAATATAGTAAATATGATAGGATATAAGATACCACCATATGATTAGTTATATTACTACTGTATGTATGATAGGATACCAGTGCTCGGATTGTATTAGATACGTGAGTTCAGATTCACTAGTTATTTGCTAACTGTGCTATAAAAAACAGTATTTACACAATTATTGTTTTTTAATTTAATATATATATATATACAGTATATGTATATATTGATAGCTGGAATAATTATGATAATATTATTTTGTGGATTTTATAAGTTATAATTTATCAGTTATTGGTAATAATATTTTTATTACTAATTGAATAATTATTTTTTTTATATATTTATAATATTTATTATATTTCTAATCTATTATTAATATTATATATATATAAGAATAATTTAGCGTACATTTAGTTATAATTTATCATATGATAAATCAATTATTTAGTTAACTTTTTTTAGTATTACAATATAATTTTTTTAATTAATTAATTTTATTTTAATATATTAATTAAACAGTTTTACTAAAATATACATTTTGTAAGTAATAATAATAAAAAACATGGAATATAAAGCATTTATTTGATAAATAAATTTATATTATATGACATGTTATTACTTCTATATTTACTAATATTAATTAAGTAAATGCAATAATATTTTAATTAAATAATTTAAATGTGTGTATATATATATCATATAATTAGATAAAACAATTATATAAATAAAATAATTACTAAAATAAATATAAACATATAAACAATATATAACTTAATATTAATATTTTTATATTTTATATACAAATCTAAAATATTTTATATATAAATTTAAATTACCGGTAATAGTATAATATTGTTTTAATATGTGATATATTGCTTATTTTTAATATTATTTTTATAATTAGCCTAAACACATTAATATTTTTTTCCCGCAATATTAATTAAATAATTAATAATAATAAAAATTATAATGTTATTATTCAACATACTAGACATAGTATAATATTTTTAGTCTAATTATTTACACACACACACAAAATGGTATAATTATAGTATCAATTATATATGTGAATATATCTATATATAGCAATTACTTTTAACCTATGACCTATATAAATATATATTTTTATTTGTAAAATTAACTTAATATTCATATATATATATATACTGTATTAGTCATATGAATATTAAGTTAATTTTATAAATAAAAAATTATCACAACTATTACTGTAACATATTTTTAGTAGTTTTGTTATTATTATTAGTATTACTACTATGAATACAAAATTAGTCCCTAATAGTCAAAATCATTTAACTAGAAGATAATTAATGCAAATTATGGACATTAGCATGTACAATTTATTATATAACATAATAATAATAAAATAAATATTTTATTTACACAACAATGGCATCATTTAATATATTTAACTATTATGTATATAATACCCATATCATAGAAAATTTTTTTTATAATACATATTTTAGACTTTAATTTCTTTTTTTTTTATTATTATTATTATTATTACTGTATATTATAATATATATAAGACCCTTGAAAATAAGCTAATA